ACAAATAGAAATAGTCGGGTCAATGGCCTGCTTGCTCTGTCATCTAATGGGAGAGAAGTTGGTCTTATATAACATTTTAACCTGCCTACCTTTTGAATTGTATTTACAGAATGTTATTACAAAAGCTTGTGCATGTTTGTGTGTCTTCTCCCAACGCGCGATAGAAAGTGGAAGGCACCTAGTTGCTGAATTGAGAGGTGTCTGTGGGTATGTTTGTGCCGTGCGTTACAAGACGAGAAGCTCAGCGTGGAGCTCCTGGCAGGTTAATTTAAAGGCGGCAGCAGGACAGGTTAGTCTTTGCAGGTGGGCTAAATGGCACCTAATACCAGGGCTGGTGGTGGAGCTGGTGGCCGAGAAGGGCTCTGCTGCAGTGAGCCGCGCAGCTGGCACCAGCTCCCCGTTCTCCGCAATCTTACCATCAGACGGAGTTGTTCTCTTTTGTAAAGTGTATTGGAGACCTGTTGGTAAGGAATTTCAGCATTTAACAAAATAATTGTAGGACAGTTTTTTTATGAAGTTTTTTTGTCACAGTTCTTAAAAGCCAGTGCAGTAATAATGCAAGTAGTGTTGTGACTGTTGCCGTATTCGAGGACCCCGTGCAGGGTTTCAAAGCTGGTTGACCCACCTTAGCAGCCAGAGCTTTAGGGCTTCTTTAATCCCAGTTTGGTGGTACAAAACCTGAGCGGCTTTTGGAGGAAGGGAGAGCTTTAGAGAGGGAGAGGAATTTGAGCTGAAGAAAGCTCTTTTCTGTTGAAAGTATGGGCCTGTCCTTAGGCTTTGTCGCTTTGCTTAAAACTTAAAGCAAGCCCTAGGAAGGGGCTGCAAGCTTAGACATTGCCCTACTGCGTGTGTGGCGAGCGTGGAGGAATGGCGCGTGGGTGCTGCCGGTCATATCCAAGGCTCTGAAAGGCGCAGAAATACATATGTTGGAGAGGGTGGGGGTGCGTGTGAGGGATTATTCTCTGAAATAAAAAACGTAAAATAAGTGACGCACAGTAATTTCGTTTGAAACTTTTACAAGTCTCAAATGCATTTAGTTCCATATATGAGTGCTGTGTGTCTGAAGAGTTTTAAGGGTGTTGAATGGGGAAAGTTTATTGGAAGAATGTAACTTCTATCCTATAAAAGACCTGGAAAAACTAACGAACCTGTTTTCAAGAGGCATGTGTTCCTGTACTGGGGGAAAATATCCAGGCAGCAAAGTTCCTTTCCGTGCATGTTTGTGAAAATCATCTGAAAGGTTTGGGGTTTGGTTTTGCGGTAGGTACGAAAGGAGTCGAGAGGAGATTGTTTTTACATCTTGTCTAAAGTCAAAGTATTCTGGTGAAGTCTCTCAAACTTTATCGCAACTTGTTATAAAAGAACGTAATGTAGAAGCATAACATGAATCTGGACTGATGTAGGAGCTTAAAGAACGCTCACTTACGGTGAGACAAAATTCCACCTTCACGAACGATTTAAGCGAAACAAAATACCAGCTCGGTCTGTGGGAAATGATTTTTTTTTTTTTTGATCTGAAGCCATGCCTTTCAAAAGAACTTGGTAAGGCAGCGTAAAGCAGAATAATTCAGACTTCCTTGTTTATTTTTTTAAGGTATTCAGCCACTGACTGAATTGTAGAGGTCAGGTCCTCTGCCAAAATTGAAGTCGGCCAGGAAGAAATGAGTTCTAAAATTCAAGGTGCAGAACTTATTATTAATTTTTTAATCTGAATCAGGTGGTGTCATGTACCATTAGCAGTGCAGTTATTCCAGTGTTATGTAGTTGCAGTGTTGTGTCAATATACAGCACTCTGGTTTAAAATCAAGCCTTGCTAAGGCCCTTCCTACCCTTTTTTTCCTACTATACCACTGATGTTTTCGCAGGCATCATTCAGGGCTGTTTCAGAGCTTGTCACTTCTTGAGTGCTAGAAGTATTTATTTTATGTTAAATTAACAGAAATAAAATATGAAACCGGTGCCTTTTTTCTAAATAATGAATGCCTCGAAAAATAAGTTGTATTCCCTGATTATCCCGTTCAGTAAACCACATATTTATCAACTCAACCGTTCAACCATGAAAGGGTTTTCCCTTTTTTGTTTGTATTTATCTTACAGGCAAAGTGACAGCAGTGTGTTTTAGCAGCAATGAGGTGATTGTCTTACTGTGTATATTAAATTTCTGGTTATATAGACACACAAGTTTCGTCAGTGTAAAGTTGTGTTAGTGTTTTTGTCAATGTGAAGAAGTGTTGATGGCTCCATGACTTCTATTTGGTATTTGTGTGGCACTTGTGTGGTTTTACAAGTTCCTTGGTAAACCAGTATTACTGAAAGTGCTACATGTTTCCGATTTTCCTGCAAGTCAAAGCAAAGTTGTTGGCTGAAGATGCTGGCTGCTTTGTCTCTCAGCAAGGTGAATCTGCGCTCCTGACAGACACTGCATAAATGTGTTTTTGATCGTGACTCCTAAATAAGCACTTGAAAGACTGAGCTCGAGTGCTGAATTGATGCTGTTTCAGGCTTTTGCATTGTGCCAGCTTGGCATTTATTATGAAATCTGTTCGCAGGACATAAAAATGCACAAGCCTTATTCCTGGGCTGCAAGGGCCCTAGTGCCGGTACATCAAAGAAAGCAGCAGCTGTCATCCAGTTTTAGCCGTGGTGCTTTTGAATGCCTTAATCCTGTTCCCAAACAGAAAAAGACAGAGTGTGCTTTCTTTGCCCTTCCCCCGATTTTTTGATGTGTTTTTCTAGCAAAATCCAGACTCTGTCTTGAGCAGCCACCACAGTGTGGCACAAGACATTATATTTTCTTTACATCTAATTTAGGCATTTCAGACCTTCTCAGTGTGCTAAACTTTTCCAGGTTTTTTTTCGGTGACATTAGAAATGACTTACATTGTGTTTACTCCCAAGTATTTAAAATATCAAAGCAATTATTCAGTAGTTTCTCATTTTCACTTAGATCCACTTCAAATTGGAGTTAACTTGCGGTTCTTTGTTGCCTTTCGGTTGCTGAGGTGGTATATCTCGAGATTGCCCTAGGAACCTGAGTTACAAGAAACACTCTTGAATGCAAACAGAATATATTTGATGTTATGTAATTTTCAGTTTTTCAGATTTTTTACAACAATACAAGTTTTCCAAGACAGTTACTCCAAAACAGCTTCTGTAAGAGGCAAACCAGATGCATCGCAAGCATAAGAATAGCGGTCACACGTCACACTTTAAGCTTAGATAGCGTAGTGTTGTGTCTCCAGCGCGGCTAAGAGCAGATGTCTGGAGAAGAGGATGAGAACTGAGCAAACATGCAGTGATATTTCCCTAATATACTTTATTGTCTTGCTGAGATTTCCCAAGTCAGAAGCTGGTTTTGTATTAAATAAACTGAGACAGATCTTTCTTCATAAATTTGCCCAATCACTTTCCTGAACTGCATTTTAAGAATATTTTCTGAATACCTATAAGCACATTTCCAGAGAATAATATAGTAAAATGATTTGTATTCAATTCAGTTATCAAGTTATTGGAAATAAATGATGGAAGTTTTTTTTATTTATTAGTTTATTTCTTTGTTTAACCATTGTATTGCAAAGTGAATTTGCACTGCCAAGTGATGTCAATGACATATACAAATGTAAAGGTGTCAGACTGCAGGTAGTACGTGCAATTTTCTGTCTAGATAAGTTATATGATATAATTTTAAGTCTTTGCTAACCCCCAGCCTTTCAGACCGAAAATACTACACTGAAATTAGCTACTGGAGAGTCAAATTTAGCGTTTTAAGATTCCATATGTGTTTCCCCGTTTACCCAATTAGAATTTCAAAGACACGCGTTTCAAATGTACTAACCAGGATACTACTGCAAGGGAGAAAATAGCATTTGTTGACGAAGGTTGGAGTGTTTACAAATGCTCCGGTTATTAGCATTGCTCCAGTGCCAGCAACTCCTGCTCAGGAGTTTGCTCGCTGGTTTGACTCGCGTAGCCATCACAACACACGAGAAAGATAAGAGATTAAATGCGATAGCTCCAGTCGTACTCTCGTTGTCAGAAAAGGATCTCAGCATCGGTGTTACCTTACTGTGGTTTACTCTTGCGAAGCTCTTTTTCCCTTCCCTCGCCGTTAATACCCATTCCCAGACTCCTCAGTTTGAAGAAATGCCATCTCTTAGCATCCTCAGAAGTCTAGAAGCTTCAGTATTACTCACAAGGGAAATAATTAATACCAAGGAAGAAAATGTGCATTTAGCATTTTGGGACGTTCATGACAATTTATTGCTAACTTACACAGAGTAAAGGATCGCCTGTTTACTTTGCTCTTGATGTAGTACGAAAAAAGAAGCCTTGAATTCAGTGAAAAATCAAGGTACTGGTAAATCCAGTTATTGGTAGTTTTCAGTGGCACGTGTGTGCCTCCGCTGGCTGGGTGGCAGGCAAAGCACTCATGGGCTGATGGCCTAGCGCTCAGACAGTTGATACTGGCATGTCCACAGCTGTGTGCAAACATCTCTCAAGTCAAAGAATAGATGCAACTGAAGGCCAGTTTCCAACTATCATTACTATTTGCGGGAGGAAGGAAGCATCTCATGTTAATTTATTCTTTCTTTTCTTCTCCCCCAGACCTTTCCCCTCTCCCTGGAACAAAGAACAGATCATATGCATGTAATATAGTCTTACAAAATCTAGAGTAATATTATTTTGAGGTTTGTGATTTGAGAAGGAAAAGGGGCAAAATAATATAAAAGGCTCCTGCTGTGTTTTTAAATTATTAATTTTTATTTCAAACTTTGAAATAAGAAAACAGTAGGTATGCAATATGACCTGCTGTTGCATGGTCTGTGCTGTATTAGCAATGTGCTACTGTAGGTAGAAGTCACTTTTTCCCTTTAATTTTGATGTCTATCATCCTCTCGATTGCTAAATTTGTTACACAAACACCAAAAAAGGATGCTGCTAGGCTAACTTATTTGTCCATACAAATGGTATTAACAAGTATTTCTTTTTCACTTTTACAGGTTATTGAATCACTGGGGATCATTATATACAAAGCCCTGGACTATGGTTTGAAGGACAATGAAGAGCGGGAATTAAGTCCTCCACTGGAGCAGCTTATTGATCACATGACTAATACCACAGAAACAGAGGGGAGTAAAGATGAGGGATATGATGCTCTGGATGAAGGAGTGGAGGATGATGATGATGATGATGAGAAAGAGGAAGTTGAGGCCATTCGTTCCTATAAAGATGTCATGAAGGTACAGTAATGGGCAGCTTGATATCACACTTCACTGTTTTTATCAATATGAAAATGTGCTCTGTTTTCTCTGTTGTTTTCCAATGTGATACTGCAGGTACGGTAAGTCATCTTCCTTCTGTATGGTTTGTTTGCAGCGATGACATGCTATAGTATTTTCGTCTTTGGCGGTAAGCCGTAGAAGGTACATGATCAACTTTATCGTAGGATGTACCATTAATGTTGCATTCTACTTTCATCTGTGCACTGGACATTGAGCTTCCACTATTCATCTATTGAATTCTGTGTACACCTGGATAGTTTACGGGCTGTTTCAAGTAATTCACCCTTTCGTTAGTGCAGTGTTACTTTAATTATTCCTTATCAGTTTCTTCCTTTGCCTTCTTCCTCTACTGAAGCAAAGGACTGCTTAAAAGAGTAGCCTAATTGTATGGAATGAGTCAGAATAGAGTGTTTCATTGATGATCATTGTGATTGCCGTTGTTGACCTGAGTTGTGAGATTTGGAAATACGGCTTATGAATTTTAATTGCAACAGATTCTGTAATATTATCTGGGCTACTGTGGACAATCGTTTAAGTATTAAAACCTCTATTTTCTATAGAGTAGGCCTCAATAAAAATTTTAATGCCCAGTGAGCTTTCTGTAGTAGTGACAAATCCACAGCATGGATTTTGACAAAATTTGTTTGATTACTTTACCTCATAAATAATCTGAGAGTTTAGTGCTGACTGGAAAATCATATGTTAACTTGTGCCTATGGATTAAAGACTGTGTACTGCTTGTTTTAAGTGCAAGTGTCACAGAAACTGAAGGGTGGAAGCTGAGACTAAAGCAGAACTTCCTGGACAGCACACTGCAGAAACAAAACCTGCTCTACAAGACCCAACTAAAACCTGCCACTTCTGATGGGTTGACAATAAAGAGGAAGTCTCTTAGGAGATTTGAATGGGAGTAAAATTTATCTGAGATGCTTTTGTATATGTAGCTAACTTGTAGTGTTATTTTGGAAAGTCTCAATGAGTGCCACTACTCATGAACCTGGTTAAAATTCATGGGTACGTTCCTGTTTGCATTTCTTCCGCTGGACTCGCATCCCCTCACTTTTACTTTTCCCCGTGACAGGGCTCTGCTTGCTTTCTTATATTTCCACTTGCCACCCAGTGCAATGGCTCATCTACATGTCTATGTGTGTGCTGTCTTCCTTTCCCCTGCCTAAAGTATCTTCTGTCATCCCTGCATCAGAAGTGATGCTACATACTGAATGCCTTCATTTTTCCTTTCTCCCTCAGAGAAGCAGCAGGGGTTAGAAGGAGAAATGACCAAAGTGGCTTTTGCTCTCCTCTGATGGGAAAGTCCTGGCTGGATGTTGTACTCTCCCCTTCAAACCCTGCCACTCCCAGGGACCTTTCTGAGTCAGTGCCCTTGGAGGAGCAAGGATTGGAGATTGCTTTCCTCTCCCCTCCCTCTGCCACTCCCTCTTGCCCAGTCATCTTTCTCAGAAATAGTCATCAGGAACAAAGGCAAGGAGCACCTTCCTAAGCTGCTATGGGAGCCGTTCAGAGCAGCACAGCATTATGTCCTGGGTGGTTAGTGTAGATACATAGTGTGATACATCCTTTCTTCCTCCCTTTCAGCCAAAAAAACCCCGATGAGGTGGTGGGACGGTCAAAGTTGGACCATTAGAGGAAGTTTCGCTTAGTGCAAGGGCAGAAGAGACATTTGTATACGCAGAGCTGAGGCCGGTGGTTGGTAGAGCTGATTATTTTGTTGTGGAAATGTATTGCTTTTGTGACTTCACCCAAGTGAACTGAACTTTAGGTGTTAGTTCTACGTCATTCTCACTTTTACTCCCACATCACCTGGAATCCTCTGCTGTTGTTGTTGCTTTTGTCTAATTTATTGGCTGCAGAGTTAGCTCTGTGACTTGCCTTTATTCCCTAGTCTGCATCATTGCATATATTTAGCTATATTTTTAACATTAGTATGGATTTGTGAGATTCTTTTTTCTTGACTTTGTACCTTTTCTTAGTTAAGACTGTGTTTTGGATGTGGCTTAACCTTTTTTCTTTTTTTTTTTTTTTTCCTCTAGTGGTAAATTATGTTGCAGGCTACACCCTTGTTTACCCGATGACTGTTTCACAACAGTAGTGTGTGCCCTTGTGACCATGAGACTTGAAGCTTTCTCCTCTGCAGCTTGTAGTGAATGTTGAAGCAGGTTTGCTTATTGAATTGAGCAACTCTAATTCTTGCTTACCCTGCATTCCCTAAATTGCAAGCTTGAAAAATGGTAGATGTGGGCTGTATGCCACTCCCATTGATTTTTAAGGTTTTCTACTGCATAGTCTCTGGTATAGACATGATTTCGTCCTTGAAACATGATTAAATGTTTCATCCTTCTCCTTAAGAGTTTCACTGTTGTGTCCAAGGCCAGGCCTGTCTATGACTAAGACTGAATTTTTTACCGTGGATTGCTAATGTGGGTGAGCCTATTGTGTGATTAAAACATGAAGATGGATAAGATCCTTGTTAGGTTTTACTGCAACACAAAGTGGGCAAGGTTAGTCCTGAAGCCTGACTTGTAAAATTCTGAGTAATGTGCACATTGGGTCTGTCATGCCAAGAAGAGTTTGGCTTACTAAGGGTGTGTAGAGTCCTGTCATGGGGTACCTTTATCATGACGTATGTCCCTCCCCGATACTGAAACGAGATGTTGTAGTTTATCAGTGTCTTCCAGAGAGTGCTCAAACCCTAATTCCACTCCTAATCTTAAAATTATCTCAGTCCTTATCCCGCAGATCTTTGCAGTCAGATGGTTTAAGCCAGCACCACTTTTCTTGTTAACCTAGAAGCTCCTTCTAACCCACAGTTCATCAACATCATCTGGCCCAAATGCTGCCCCTACACCCAATTCTAATATTACTCTAGAAGAGGTCAGCAGCCTCTTCTAGTACAAATAAATCCACATGACCCTTAGGCTGAACTGTGGCCCTAGCTCTAGCCTTGTCATTGCTTTGGACTTTGAGCATCATTGTAGCTCAATGGCTACTGCCAGTACCAGCCCTTAGCTTAGCTCTTCTTCAGAGAGGAGGCATTTTATCAGGAATATCTGCAAGTCACGGAATCGTTTAGGTTGGATGGGACCTCTGGAGATCACCTAGTCCAACCTCCCTGTTCAAGCAGGGTCATCTAGAGCATATTGCCCAGGATCACATCCAGACGGGTTTTGAATATCTCCAGCGAAGGAGACTCCACAATGTCTCTGGGCAACCTGTTCCAATGCTCTGTCACCCTCACAGTGAAGAAGTTTTTTCTCAGGTTCAGATGGAGCTGCCTGTGGTTCAGTTTCTGCCCATTGCCTCTTGTCCTGTTGCTGGGCACCACGGAGAAGAGGCTGGGCTCATCCTCTTGACCCTCCCCCTTCAGATACTTGTACACGTTGATGAGATCGCCTCTCAATCTTCTCTTCTCCAGGCTGAACAGGCCCAGCTCTTGCAGTCTTTCTTCATAGGAGAGGTCATGACACTAACCACTGCTCCCGGCAGAGACTTTGTTACTTCCTCTTCTGAACTCCCTTTTTTGTAAACTGCAAACCTCACAGACAGTATCTAAGGAGGTAGTGATCTTCCTGAACTGCGATCTTATTCTATGTTCCCTTGTCAGCCTGAACCTTAGCTAAACTCAGCTTTAACAGGAAGCTTACCTGTAGCCAAGTCGCACCTTCTTGTCATGGAGACAAATACAGCCATGTGGCCTCTGGTCCCAGGCAGTACCTACATTATTGCTTTTGTGTAGTTCAGTAATAACCATAGTCAATTCTGACCAAAAATTAGCTATCATACAATTGCTGCTTCACAAATTACGCTGATAAATTACAAAATCTCCATGCTGACCTTTTAATTTGTATGAAAATTAATATTTTCAGAGCTGTGTGTGCAGTATTGTGTAATTTCACTGTAACAAATGTAAATAGGATTCTAATTTTTAATAGTTTGATTAGTAGAAATTTGAGCTTGTGCTTTGCTCATAAGCAAAGAGGAAGAACAAATGATTCTGTCAAAACATGTATCAGATCATTCTTTAGGCATTGGGCATGGTCTCTAAAATAAGAAAGTTGCAAATTTAGGTGACTCATCTTTTAGTAGTTCAAGGATATGACTAACCTCATTCAGCTGGAAGGAACTGAAATTTACAGGGGTGATACTGATCTGCTTGTGTTTTGTTTTCGCTACTCTGATAGTAGTAAAGATCAGCTATCCATGGAATGTGTAGATTTATAGCGCAAAAGAAGAATATGTCCTGTTTCCATATAATTATGGGTGGGACAAGATGATCTACAGGTTTCAGAGGCTCCCTTCTGAGTTTGAGGCTAACTCTGGACATACATTATTACCACAAATATAACCCCATATAAGTGTAATATAACCTGTCAGAGAGGAACCAGAAAATGCAGTTAAAAACAAGTGTAGATATGTTTGTGATAGGTGGTTAAGGAGTTCATTTTACTGGAATTCAAAGGCCCATAATTTTGCTTAGTTCATGAGGTTAAAATTAGTAGGATGCAATTTTCTGCAAATGCAATTCTGTGTAAGGCTGAATTGGCTTATATGAGCCTGCAAAACAGCATTTATCCTTCATTTCAAAACAAGCAACTTCTATGTGCAGTGTACCATGTAACTGTGTCAGAAGCTGGTGAAGGATTTGGCAGCTTACTAAGGTGGTAACATGCCGCAAATTTTGTCAGCTCATTTTTATTAGAAAGGAATACAACACTGGGCATTTGTGAAAATCATTACACTCAACAAGGATAACAAGTGATCAGGTTGTTTCCCTGAGTCCTTGTTCTTAGTGTACTCAGGTGTAGCATGCTGGTCTTTATTTTGGTGGATGTGGTCTTAGAAAAAGACAGTATATCTCTTAACATGTTGATGGGGGCAAAAATTGAATTACAGTGAGTTGCAGTCCTACACTTTTCTGATCATAGTAGTTGAGCTTGCTTTGC